ATGGGGTAAGCCAACGTAAAGCGCCTGGATCTTCAAGTAGATTTCCAAAAGAAACAATTCAGTAGAATCGTGGTGGTCAGCTCTCACCATAAGACCAGTGCCGCTAAAAAGCTCCAGGGACCAGCTGTCAGCTTGGACTGCTCCCTACTTCAACAATAGAGTTTACAAGGGTCAAAGAACCCCGTGAATCCTGCAACCGGGTATTTAATCGCCATTGCAAATATTATTATGCATACAGCCCATCATTAGTTTTCTTTCCCTTCTCTCCTCAAGTACCCGCAAGCATTCGCTAATATTTGGTATCAAAAATTTTGGATCAGCCACATAGGCCATTAATTTCGGAGAGAGTGGCAACGATGATAACTGATCATATCGAACCGTTAGCCTTATTTTCAACCGACAGAGATACTGTAATTGAGGGAGGAGTGACAGGCGTGATAGAGGATACTGTAATCGGATTTCAGATGCTTCCGCTTCTTCACCACGTCGATGCATCAGATTATCTCGTTCGCGACTGCAAGATATCTGCAAAGTACCGGATTCTCAGAGATGAATCAAAACACAGGAAGGAAAATAGGATAGAACCCACTTGAATTGCATGCTTGAACAGATCTACCAAGCTTTCTGATCGTTCCAAAGAAAATGGCCCACCCAAGTGAACGAACTGGCCACTTATTTCCACACGCGAATGGTATACCTTTCCTAAAAAAAGAATAAACCAAAAGTAAGTTTGGCAAACTTTCGGTATTGAAGGCAAGTTGGCCAGGACGTTGAGCTACAGTTCCAGAATTTAATGGAGGAGAGTTGCGGCACACAATGAGGTCCGGAGGGTGGGGCAATTTCATTCTGCAGGAAGAACAATCAAGAACAAGAACAGAAGAACAAGAACAGTCTCAGATTTATCAAAGAGTTCAGTAAATACCCCATCCCCTGCCAAAGTAAAATTGTGCCATCTATTTCCCCCACCATCTATCTGTTTGCCTAGAAGCAAACAAAGAGACGGATGTAAGGAACAAAGACTGCGATAGAAAGCGGAGCAGGTAATTCACTAAATTCGTATAATACAAGTCAATAGGTGCGGGGTACCTTC